CCTTGACTTTGGAATTCTTTCTCCCACTTCCATAATAGCCCAAATCTGTAGTCCTTTAGGAGGCATCTCAAACCCTATCTATTGAAGAAGAGTTGAAGTTTTGGTGCAGTGTGGATTTTTATTTAGTGGGCATTAGGGATTTACAAGAGCTTTGGATAGGTGATCTTTTATAGACTGACATAGAAATAACTAAGACTAAAGAAGACCACTTGCTATATAGCACCTGGACAGTAAAGCTCTCTGAATAGTAGTGTTGGAACAACCCAAAATTGCTTCTAAATGTACTTGGCCATGGGAAAGGAGAGCATAGCACTTGGAAGAACAGATCTTTGTCAGTAAAGGATGTTGTTTAGATGTTGTTTGAACATGGGCAGGGTTAGAAGGAATTTGTTTTATTGTTAAAACAATGGCCTAAAACTCTGAAGATCTGGACTTGGACTTTGTCTGTGACCTTGCCCTCAAGATCACTTAATTTCCAGGCCTCGGTTCCCCATTTGTAAGAAGTGGATGATTAATACTTCCCTACCTTGCAGGGGTGTTGTGAGGATAAATCCATAAATGTTCGGGAGGAGCTTCGATACTAAGGTAAATGGATGGATATTGATCAGTTAATCTTTGGTAAGAAATAATGTGATAACTACAGTCAGCCCAGCTCGGAGTGGCATTTTGATATAGGGAAAAATCCAATGGGATCTAAAGGGAACGATAAATGAATGTCTACATTATTCAAATAAAATCTGTGAAATGCACTGGAGGGTTTTTTGTTTGTGCCTTTTGATTACAAAAGGAGCTCTGGTTCTTTTGGGCATATCTTACTTTCTCCAATCCTGCTTAAAATTCTTTTCACCTCTGCAAGAACCAGAATGAGCTGATTTCTTCTTTTACTAGCATTATGGAAGGAGAGTCAGGACTTGGCGTCATGCCACCATTAAAGGTCTGCAATAACATCAGGTTCCGATCTCTCTAATATGGGCAGACTGATTTTGGAAATGAGACATGTGAGGACCCTTTGCATGGTTTAGCAGTATGAAATGCACACGAGCAGACTGTTGAACTCCTAAGTGATCCTGCTCGCAGCATGATTCCATAATCCTGTATTTTTAAAGAGGGTTGACTCTGCTAAAGTTGTCACTGCTGATAAAAAAAGGTTAGATACTTTGTGCTGCTCTAACATTATTTTTCGTTTTCTCCCTCATTCAGTAGTGCAGTAGAAATTGGTGGGCTGTTCTTCCCTTCCATGAATTTATAGTACGAGGGATTTTTATAACTCATATGAATGCAAAAGATGTTTATTTCTGACCTTCCAGGAGAAATTGCTGGGAGTGATCCAGAAAACTTGCATATGTCTTAAACAGGAAAGCTGGCCCTTTCAGATACTGAGAGAGGCTACCTACTTCAGAGAAGGCCACAACAAAAATGAAAGCATCAGGAGACTGCAAATGAAGCCAAAGGTTTCATTTACATGTATGTTAAATGTTAAACAAAACGTACAAAATAGTGTACATTACCCAGGGTTTGGTTCCATTTTTGGGAACTGTACTGGGTAGCAGCAGAAGAAGAAAGACAAGTGCATGCCTTGGGTTTAGCTGTTGTAGGACTGGTGTTAAATAAGATAAATTTGTTCCAATTCCAAATCTTCAGACCTTTACAATTAGCCTATATTTATCTGTAGCATCTTCCATCCTAAAGGATCTCAAACTCCAAGAGATCAACATGGTGATCTCTTTACTTACTACTAAAATGTAGCTAGCTCTGGGGTGAAGTGCTGCAGCTGTATAATATCTCACAGCAACACTACTGAAGAGTTTTATGCAGGACAGAAAGACAATATTGTATCTATTTGCAGTGGTAGGGGGAATTTAGGGAAGCCAAATTTAATTGTCTACTTGAAAAGAAGACAGGACATCCAGAAGAACACCACTGCTTCTCTTTCAAGTAGCACCAAAAGATCTTTCATGATGGTAGGTGGTCAGAACTTTGTCTTATCTAAAAGAACTCCTATTGTGACCCCTAACACCATATGGGGTATTAGATCAGTACTGAATCAGAAGGAAAAGTACTATCACTTCCTACAGCACCTTTCTTTCTGGTTTTCCTTGACGTTTCCCAGTCGAACGCTAAGCAAATCAGACCCTGTTTGTCAGGAGAGATCTCTTGCAATCACTTCACTAAGTGATAGCACTATGATGAATTAAAACACGCATACAGAGTGTAATATTTGCTAAGTGTGCTTCTGTTTTTTTTAAAACATTCTAGATAACAGTAAACCTTTAGAGCTCCCATCACTCTTGACCAAACTTACAGGATAGTGTTTTGCTAGAAGTCATTTGACCGTTGTGTGCACCTTTCTGCCTTTCCTGTCTAATCACCAGTGGTTACCAAAAGATTTATATGCAATGACTTTCCCCTCTAGCCCATCCTGATGGATTCCTGCAATGATATCACAGCTGCTTGTTTGAGACCACATGTTTCAGTGAAATGGAAGTGATTGTGAGATTGGTATTGCAGATAGAAACAGAATGTTCTGTATCCTCTACACACATTTTCTGCGCAATCACTACTTTTAAGTGAGGAAATAGAGAGGGACCATTACTAGTTTAAATGCGGGTTTGGTAAACTCAACTGCTTATTTCAGAGTTTGCAGGGAAATGGTGGGGCCTCATTAAAAGAGGGCTCAGAGCATTCCCTGCATTAATCTCCTCTGAAGTACAGTGGCAGTGCAGTAGCAGTCCCAGCTCTGTATACATAAAAGCCGCAAGCGCTTGCTGTGCTACTTCCCTTATGCTGAATACCAAACAGATACGTGCTGCAGGGTTGTGTTGGAGAAAAGGAGTTTCCCTTACTAATCAAATGCAATCTGCTTTTATTCATTATTCAGTTGCCTTTGAGAAGCCGAAGGCACCATTGAAATATCTGAAATCTGAAGCTTATTTATGTCTTGCCCGTAGTTCATTGCCAAAAGCTCCCAAAGGAAGTGCTTAGTGACAGCTTTGAAATGTATGTCATTTGGGGAAATGCCTTTTTACAGCTGACCCTCAAAGGGGCGCTTTATTTTCTTATTTTAGAAGTAGAAGGAAACGCTTGACACACTGATAATTTTTCCAAGTCCACTATCCTGAATGCTTGGGAGCGTGGGGGAGCCATCTGCCAGAATTCCTTGCAAGAAAGGAAGCTGAAGGATCCATTTGCCTTGTAGCAAGTGACCTGTGCTGCTAGACAAGAGATTGTGGTTCAATTCTTGGTCTCCTATAGTGTGTACTGTAAGGGGCTGGGAGTGCTGAGAACTCGTACTCATCTCACAATGGCCTGCAGTTAGACTGCCTTATTCTGTGATCCTATTCGATTTCACTAACTAAGCAGGGTTAGTTCACGTCAGTGTTTGGATGGAAGACTTCCAAAGAAAATACCTGATGCTGCATAAATTGGTGGTGGTGAGTCGAAAGTACTTTCTGAGAAAGTAGTGAATGAATGCACAGTGGCTGCAGCACGTTGTTAGGGAATGGCATGGTCATCTTTTGGATGAGACATAAATCGGAGGCCCTGGCCAATGTAGTTATAAAATCTCATGGCACTCTTTATATGAATGGGGGCAGTAAACTAGGTCTCTCAGTCAAATTCCAGCTCTGGCTACATTCTGCCTCCTTAAATTCCCCCTGCATTTTGGAGATGGTGTTTTTCTTCACTGTTGGGCAGTATTGCCGTGCAATTTCACCCCGTGTAGAAATTGTCTATCAATTTAAGGTCCTTTAGGATGGAAGGCACAGAATATCAGAAACAACCACTAGCTGACTGTGACACCATTGAGCCTTTCTGAGCCTTGCCCTATCATTGGTTAGGAAGAGGGTGGCTGCAGTGCATATTCTGGAAAATAGGGTGTAAAATGGGGAAAGCTGGAGCGTCGTCAGAACTCCACTAGGTAGATGTGTACTCCCTGTGCATCAAGGAGCACAGATGTCTGAGGGTTCTTGCTCGCTGCTGTACCATGGGGAATTGGGCAGATACTTCCCCCACTTATTGGGGATGGAAGTGGCACAGCCATGGCTTGGCTTGGAAATGGAGGTGGAGGATTCTCTTCCCTGGCCCCAAAGGAATCTCCCAGCACACAGCCCTGCTGCTCAGACAGTTGCTGGAACGAGGATCTAAGCCTTCGGCAGTTGATCCCCTATGGTTTCAGCTGGTCTTCAGTTCAAGGTCCATTTCAATAGGTTTTTCTCTCCAATCACAAAGGCTAGACACTTTTTTTAAATATGAACTTGTATTCTGCTGGAAATGATTTGTGAAACTCTGCATGAGAGGACTGGGGATGTAGTGGAGTCAGTGGAGGAACTCCCCCAAGAAGTCTGGGGTGAGGGAGTTGATGCTTGAGAATTGAGCACCTATCTTCTTTTCCCTCAGATTAGCTAGTCTTGGAGTCTCTAGATATGGCAAACCACAGAGTTAACTGGACTCTATTTTTTGGTACAGGCAGTTCTGAAATTGTGGTGCCTTTAATTGCTGGAGAAATTGAATCAATGTTTTGTATTTTAAAATTATATAACCCAGGTGTTTGATCTTGACACGTTGCTCTCGCGCTCTCTCTTCCCTCCCCCCTGCCGTGCCAGGTCTCTTCAGGGAAACCCAACCAACGCAGATCATTCTTTGACTAGTGTACACGAGCTCTGCTTTATTTAGTGTCTTGCTCCCCCTCTCCAGGGACTCTGCTGGATGACTGTGAACCCTTTTTTTCTCTCCATGTGTTGGGAAACTTGTCACTATGACAGTTGCAATACCACAAGCTTGTCACCGTGACGATGGAAATCACTGCATGATCATGAGTGCGACGAATGTTGAGAGCCTTGTTTGATTCTCATTATGCCGTGGCAAAGTTTTCCAAACCGAATGTTATTTTAAAAGCAAAAACACTGTAATAACCATCTTCCTCATTCTTTCCACAGAACCTCCAAGAGTCCTGTCATTAAATATTTAATTAGTGTGAATTATTTTTCTTCTGTTCTCCACAGGTTTTGCATGCAGAAGAGTGTTAGATTGGTGCCAGGAGTCACGCTGGATTTAATAGAGAAGTAAGCAAGATTTTATGACATTAAAACTACTGCTATCCTGACTTCCATTATTACAGTTGGTTTGATGGGGAGGGGAAATTGCTTCTTAGTCACGTTGTCCTCAAGATCCCTTCATTCTGCTTGTGGGCATGCACCTCTTTGGGGTGCTTCTGTGGCCCAAGACTCACTTGGGGGTACCAAGTTCCCCTCTGTTCATTTTTCTTTGACTATCTTACCCCGTTAGTCCTTTGTTTTGCATTTGTTCTCATGCCTATGGTGTGTCTCATTATATTGTCTTTACTACAGGCTGGCAGAGCAAGCAGTGACTATAGAAGCAAGAATTCATGCAGGGAACACTGTTTAGATGGAGTCTTACGCTTGCCCTAGAGCTTTGCTCAGTCCTTTTACCTTACAGGTCACGTAGGTCTCATTCCTGGTACGTTGAGCATACACTAGCCTGACAGGTCACCTTTTTGGCAGACAGTATTGTCGAGCCACCTAACTAGTTGTGTTGGGCACACATTGAGAGAGCTTGTCAACAGGGATCAATGGAGATGTTCGATAATGCTCGTAGCCTTCAATTTTTGGAGTTACAACTTCACACGTGTTAAGGTCACATGTGAAATTAGTTTAATACTCTCAGCCTATATCCTAGCTAACATAAAACCATGTGGCAAACGCCTCTGCTTAAGGCAGGCAAAGGCTGTTGTAGTAGAGAGTGTCTAAAGTCAGGCAGTGAGGTGCATTGGTAGAACTATATGGGAGCATAGAACTGAAATGGTTCCTGCAGTTCTGGTATTTAGATGCATTGGCAGAGCTGTGTCCAGGGGAGACCGGGACTGGAATAGCATGGCCAGGATTGGGATGCACGGGCAGAGCTGTCTTGGGTGCACAGTGCTGGAACTCTGCAGGGGAAGCTTTCACAATACTTGTCTGAGGTGTGAATGTCTCTCGACACAGCTATCATTTTCTCTTTCATGACTCATAAAATCCATTCAATACCCTGAGCCTGTGTGCGTGTGCATGTGTGTGTGCGCATGTGCATATGTGCACGCACGTGTGCGTAAAATCAGAAAAAACAAGACATGTTTTGTCAATTCCTCAGCACACTGTAGTGTTCTTTCTATCTAATAATGGTATTATATTTCGATCCTTAATGCCATGGAAACCTATAATAATCCTTTCATCCAAGCAATACTTGACCATGACTACTGGCTAATGGACAGCCCAGGGCAAAATGATTGACTAAACTCTTCTCCAAAACAAAGTCCAGGTTATGCAAGCTATTGAAAAAGTAAATCATAATTCATCTACTGCATTCTTTGTTTTCAAAGAGTTTTTATAGGAAGGCATTTTTTGCCATCAGGTGAGGTAGTACATGTTTGTGTGGATGGTCTCTGAGATCTGTGCCACATGGTTAGTATTTTCAAGCTTCCTATTCTTAGAACATTGTGTACCCAAGTTAAATTAGCTTGGAACAATTAATAAAAGGTAATTCAATTTCTGAGATGTTTGCCTTGAGAAACGCTCATTGTCAAGATTAATTAGAATAGGCTATGGATTTGGACTTCTGACACGTGAATGTCTAGAGCCAATTATCCTCTTTCAGTTCTCCAGGATTAGAGTCATTCATTCATTCAGGTGAAAGGCATTCTCTGCGGTGTTCGGAGGGGTTGGGTTGGGGTATTCAGTCAGTGAGTACATAGTAGTAGTGTTTTAATATATCATTTTTTGCTTTTTTTAATAGGTTTTGTAGAGTACAGTGATTTGCAGCTATCATTCATTGCTCCCAGACTGTCAGTAGCAAATGATATTTTGCAACCATGGTGATGAGTGTAGGATTCCATCAGCTAAAATTCCCAGTTCAAAGCGTTGTCTTCTCTTTTGGCTTATTGCATTGGTAAAGTAGATCCATGTTGAATAACCTGCCTATTTTAATCCCAAATACATTTCAAAGTATCGTTGAATGTCAGAAAAAGTTCCGTGTAATGTATTTTAGGAGATAGGTCTATATCGGGCTCTTGAGCAGCTTTTAAGTGGTTAACCATTATGGAAGCCATGCTGGCATCACACATTTGATCTATGTGAAAATGGGTCCAGCATCTACAATTTAGGTAGGAGAAGCCAAAGTATGATTCTATTAACCTTAACTTCAAAGGCAGTAATGCATAAATGGGTTCAGCCCATGTCCAAGAGATCCAGTAGACAAAGAACAGGCTTGTGGTATAAAGGAGGAGGCTGAAATCACTGAGGGTCCCTGATGTGATCCTCAACTGACATGAAAGGGTAACTAGGCAAAGCCCTGCTGGAATGGCTTGACGGACTGGAACCTGCCAGGGTCTCCCTGTGGAAGATGGGTGACACGTGGTAACCTTGGCATGCCTATGGATTGTTTATTGTTTTATGATATGCTTTCTCTGTCATGTTTTTGTCCTAAATAAATGTGAAGGCTGGCTGGTCACTGGTAAACACATTCAGACCCTGGAAGAAAGCAGAATGGCTGGGGCTGGACAAAGGTCAGTCCTGCTGGGATAAGCACAGTGAATTGCCGGGGGCTTGCAACCTTAAATCCCTTGTTAAGGAGGTGATGAAGGTCCCCACCCATAAAGAGATGATGGTTGGAGACCGGAAACCTAAAGGGGGTCCATGAGGGTGGGAGCAGAGTGCATTTAACTCCGGAACTGTGACAGCACTTATCCGCTTGTTTCTGAGTGAGGATCCAGCCCAAACCATTGACTAAAACTGGCAGAGCAAGGCCCTTAGGTAGTGACAGATTATGCAGGAAAACAAAGAGAAATCTCTTCAGCTCATCGGCTGTGAAAAAGAAGCCGATGCAAAACAGGGTCAGAAATCTGTTTGCTAAAGTAAATAAAAGAACTAGGAGAATTAATTCAGCTCTTTCATCCATCTCCAGAACTATTTTACATTCTCCATCCCCTAACTCATGAGCCATGTCGAGCTTTTAGGTTTTGTTTTCATTACACCAGCAGTGAACACATTTGATTTTTCTTTTTCCTGTTTGCAATATACTTTGTGGATTTTTAACTGAGGTTTTCTAAGTGTCACACTGCACGTTGCAACACTGTTTATGCTGATTCGTCCTAGCAATTGCTATAAAATCTTCATGTCAATGTATAGATTTTTGAATAGTACGGGTTTTTAACTAATGCACTGTTCAAGGTGCAGGGAAGATGGACCAGCGTTCCTTGTAATCTGTGAAGTATCAGAGGGGTAGCCATGTTAGTCTGGATCTGTAAAAAGTAAGAGTCCTGTGGCACCTTATAGACTAACAGATGTATTGGAGCATAAGCTTTCGTGGGTGAATATCCACTTCATCAGATGCATGACATGCTCCAATACATCTGTTAGTCTATAACAGGGGTAGGCAACCTATGGCATGCGTGCCGAAGGCGGCACGCGAGCTGAGTTTCAGTGGCACTCATTCTGCCTGGGTCCTGGCCACCAGTCCAGGGGGCTCTGCATTTTAATTAAATTTTAAATGAAGCTTCTTAAACATTTTAAAAACCTTATTTACTTTACGTACAACAATAGTTTAGTTAGATATTATAGACTTATAGAAAGAGACCTTTTAAAAACGTTAAAATGTATGACTGGCACGTGAAACCTTAAATCAGAGTGAATAAATGAAGACTCGGCACAGCACTTCTGAAAGGTTGCCGACCCCTGGTCTACAGGACTCTTTGTGGCTTGTAATCTGTGAGGAATTGGAAGCGGCTCATTGGTTTCTGTCTCTTATTCTATCTTGCTTTCTGATTATTGAAGGGAAAATGGAACCTGCCCAGCCCAACTCAGCAAAACTACCAAAAGCAGCTCTTGCAGTTGTTTTCAGTAATGCAGCAGCCGCTCTTCTCCATTGGATACTGTGCCCTATGGCAGTGCATGCCCCTTGTCCTGGGGCGAGAGTGTTTGCAAGGAGGTGAGGAGCAGAAAGGAAACCTGCACGCGGGTTATGCCTGTCTCATCTCAATGCGCACAGTGCCTGCTAATGCTCTTTCATTAGCTGAGGGTGATGATCTGGTGGCCTGAGGGTTCCTCTGTTTACGCTTAAGCTTGGCAGGGTTTGATTTCTATCAGTAACTGTCGGTAAACGTCAATTTCAGCTGGCACAATGCAGTTGATGAAAAATTATATCAACCAGCAACAGTGGGTGTGCCTGCAATGTTTGGCAGTCACCAGCCCTGCGGCCATGCAGGGAACCCTCGGCAGCCCTGCTGTCATGCGAGTGAGTAGGTCCGTGACTGCGGAGCTGCAGAGGGCTCCCTGCACTGCCTCAGGGTGGGTGACGCCAGATCCCTGCAATACAAGGTGTGGGAGGAGGCCGTGTTCCTGGTGGAGCAATCTTAAAAATAAGAATTGATAAAAATCATCAAAATGGGGGGCGGCGGGGGAGAAGAATGCTGCCAAGCCTACTTACCCTGGAGCGGACAGAGGGATGTTGTCCTGAACTGTTCTGATTTTGAGCTGTCTGGAAAGCTAAACTAAGAGGTTCTGTCTTTAAACCCTGAAGGAGTTGTCCATACAAGTGGCAATCTCCTGGGGGTACCATATAAGTATATTATTAAGCACTGACATGAAATAACAATTAGGTTAATTATCATTAAGAATATTCTGTGTGGAAGGGTATCTGTCTCTCCAACTGGCATGCATCATGTTCTTACTCGCTTAAGAAGTTAGAGTAGGGAAACAAGCTCTCAAGGTCTCTGTGTGCCTGGAGACCAACCTGCTTCCCTTACTACAGGGATGAGAGAACTGTTGGGAGGGACATACAGTTTCAGGGGCACCGTGAAGGGAAGAGCCTAAAGAGGTCAGAGTTGAAGCTCTGCTTTTCCTAGCCCCAAAGGATTAGACATGCTCAGAGGGGAAGAAGTGGCATTTCTTTTTATGGTCAGAGAGACTCTGTCCTCCCCTTCCAGGAGTAGGCACAGAAGACTAATCACTGCCCCCTAGGTTTCTGGCTCCCGAGAGGTTACTAAAATGAGTTGAACACCAGTGTCCTCATC